GTATTAAGTGTCCGTCTTAGGGAGATGTCAGGCCATCTTCTAGTATAGAGTCAAGTCAAACAAAGGGAGTAAATAAAGATTAAGGGAGAAACTCTAGGTGTCTGTTTTACAGAGGTGTCCATCTTATAGAGGTGTCCATTAAGAGAGAGTCCACTGTATACAGGATACAGGTTGTGGCTTCAGTAGGAAAAATGACCTTACAAATTAATTCAGGGCTATTGAGAACTGTAAAGAAATTAAGATACGGAGATGGCGATTACTATTCATCTACTAGTGAGGACTGAAATCTGCAGAATGTCTTCTTTGCACTACCCTATTCCTATTACACACATCTTAACCCCTAGGTACCCCCCCCAGTCCCTTGACACTCACAAATCCACTCAGCCCCAGTCATTGTCTTCTTAATAAACATAAATTGCTGGTTGATCATGGAATGGGTGGATTTAGGGGTGCGCCAAGAGGACTGCACTGCTCCCTCCCTCATTTTCTTAGAAGTTTTCAATTGTATTAGTTTTAAAGAATTTTCAGTAAAATAAATAGTAACTATTTTGCTGGCTAAAACATTCTGGCTACCCTTTCCCCCCCCCCCCCTGCTTCATGAATTTTCTGGATCAGCCCCTGTATGCTGATTCACCTAACTATAGTTGTATTGTCAAACAATATATTTTCTCTATTATATAAGGTACAGAGTTTGAAAATCTGGTCACTGATGGGGGTGGTGATGAGGCACCCAAATGCCAAACAGCAAAGTGTGTGGCGAAAAGTGAGTATACAGTCTCAGGCCTAGTTCTGTTTTTAATTGTTAATGGATTTTGTCTTTTTTGCATATTGAGTTTCCTTCCCTACTCACAGGAAAAAATAACGGATTCCCATTTTTGGATATTTTAGGGTATTTAAAGAATACCCATAAAAATCCCCAATTTGGCAAAGTGAGACAAGTCCCAACCAGGGAATTCCCAACCAAGTTCCCTTATTGGGACTTGTCCCACACTTCCAAATTTGGGATTTTTGTGGGTATTCTTTAAATACCCTAAAATATCCAAAAATGGGAATCCGTTATTTTTTCCTGTGACTAAAACTGAAATCTGGAGAATTTGCCTTTTACAAAGATTACCCCCTCTTCCCATCAACTTACCCCTTATCCACCCTACCCTCCCCAGCTAGATAGCCCACCTGACCTTCAAGGTCGTGACACCAGGAGCATCTGCTGACACCCCACCAGTCCCTAACCGTTTTTAATTTGAACTTTATTTATTAGTTGATCCGTCACTACCTCCCCTTCAACTAGTGAATTCCACACCCTTCCATTTACTTGAGGCCTGAAAATGTACCCCTTTCGGGCGGAGCCTCCCCGTATAGGCCATTATAGGAAGTACCCATGAGGGTCAGTCGGGTCACTATGGTAGTTGCATGAAGCTAGGGTGATGAAAACCTCTGCTATTTTCGCCGGGTATGATATGGTTTTAATTATATGGTCATCCTCATTATTTATATCTAGGTGTAGATTTTGAAGATGTGGTCACTGACGGGGTTGGTGATGAATCAGAGAGTGATCCTAAAGACCGAATGGCAGATTGTGTAGACAGAAGTAAGTATACAAATTCAGGCGGGCCCCGTTGCCGCCTTTGCGTTATTTTGCTTTTGCGTATCGGCCTTCCCTCGCCATGTACCCAAGGATAAAGGTAACCGAAAGTACAACGTTTTGAAAGCTTACTCCAGAGTGGATATGTCTGATAACACCATTTACCTGTTCACGTTTACTGAGAGAGCAACGACGTCAATTTTCGAAAACGATGACGTCAAGGATCTAGTGGGTGAAAATAACACTGAACTGCTCCTTGCACTTGTGCCACGGACCTCTGGCATATCTTAAGTTTAATTCTTTCGTTTTAGCAGTTAACAGATCAAGGAAATCTAAGGTGCCATGCATTTTCATTATTCTTTTAATGTAAGACATATAAGTATTTTACACGTATATCTCAAAGCCAAAACTTCTTTTAATTTCTAAAAATGATTTGTTTCTCTATTGACTGAAAGATAACGCAGTAGCTTCTACGGCCGTCTCAGTAGCAATTCAGGGCATGTTGTTCACTGCCCCGCCGGCACAAACCTTTAGAGGAATTGAAGGAGTTCAGGTCACACCAGCAATACCAGTTACACAGAAATCTTCTACTGAGAAAAGTGAAGGTAAGACAAAAAACTTGATATTTGAGAATTTCCAAGTATCAAATGAACTATTATTTGTAGCCTGTTTTTCTGGAGGGATTGTTATGCCTGGGGTATTTTCTTGGCAGCCGAGACGATTTTACCCCAGCGCTATCCCGCAGACACGCAGGGTAGAACTTTACAGAGCTTTAATAAGGTTATGAAATTTTGATCATACCCCATGCCTTTAATACTTGGCTTGTTGCTTTGCTGAAAAAAGTACTTTTTGATGGTTTAGCTTCATCGTAAACGTCTTCCTAGTAAGCTTTTTCTCCGTTCTCATTACAGCGCGCAGCTTGAGATCAGGAAGGTTGGTTTTAAGGAAATACCTAATTCCTCTACATAGTTTTGGGTCGACATTAGGATGAGCTGAATACATTTATCACTACTGCTAGAATTAAAGTTATTATGATGATGGCGGTAGTGAACATTGTGACATTAAGGCCATTTATACGAGGAAAAATAAGACGCGTCTTCAATAAGACGCGAACTTTCCGTATAAATGGCGCATTTCGTCTAAAATAAGACGCGGCTTAGCAAAGACGCGTCTTATTTTAGAACAGCCCTTAACACCTGTTCTTAGATAAGACGCGCCTTAGCTGAGACGAGAAAAACTTCGTATAAATGACCTTCGCTTCTTACATAAAACGCGAACGCATAGTACGCATGCGTTAATTTTTGGCGCGCCACGTTGGATTGCCGTTGCTACGGGCAACATACACATGAAAACGAGTCAAGAACAGAAATAAGACGCGAACCATTCATACGAGCTGTTCTCGTCTTAGATAAGACATGCTCGTATAAATGGTCCAGTTCGCGTCTTATTTAAGACGCGTCTGATGTAAGACGCGTCTTATTTTTCCTCGTATAAATGGCCCTATTATGTCATTTTCATCTCTGAAGATAGTAGTATTAACCAAAACGAAAAATGTAGCGTCGTAAATAACATTGTTCGCTTTCATCGATTATCCTTGACTTGTTTTCTTGCTTCACTCACATCAGGTGAATTAATATCCGTTTCCATAAAGTTATGTTGTATATTATATTGTTGCATTTCTGACCATTTGAAAGGAAGGGCGTTGGACATTGCTTGAATTGCAAGCTAAATTTAGAATTGTAGCTGAAGAGCTAACGATATCCCCCTTTTTCTATTCCAGGCTCCTCCTTTGCTGCGTCTACTTCCAAGAGTTCAGCTCCTGCGCCTGCTCTTACGCCTGCTTCTGCCCCTGCTGGCCCTGGCCCTGCCCCTGTCCCTGTCCCTGCCCCTTCTGTTACATCAGATGCGTCAGCACAGGCAGGGCAAGGTCGCCTTCAACATGATTCCATTGTTGGACCACCACCTAGGCGATATGTCAATTATCTGGCGTACCAATTGGTGGGATACCAGATACATGTAAAAAAAATGCCATTGGTGGAAAGCAAAGCTGGCCGCTATAGTACTAACTATTGAGATTTACATACCCGACACGACAAATCCGATAGTGCGACTCTATCCCACTCTCAGTTTAGAGATCGGAGCGGCCCAAATTCGCTCCGTTACAGAAATCGCGCCAAAATCACCGTTCTTATGTGTGAATAGAAACACGATCCGGTATCGGTTTCGTTTCGGTGCAAGAGCTAGCTATCCGGTATAGATGAACACAGCCTTAGGTTCACTAGGTTGCCAAAGTCAACCGTCGCAAAATAAAAAGGCCATTAATATTTTGAGGCTCTTGATATATTCTACTCACAGCTGATATTTACAAGGAAGGAGAGATACAGCAGAAACACTGTCGCATTTCGGAAGAGTTTTTAGATTGAATGAAAGAAGTTTGACGGTTAAGCTTCGTCGATACTTGGTCCGCGCGATAAAGACCACATCTACGGATATTTTTTTTATGGTTAACTTTATGCTCGATCTCGTCCTTTGCAAAGGTTGCAACTTAGACGTATCCATAGATGGCTATGACGTTGGAGGCTGGGTCGTATATGGAGGACAGGAGTTAACGATAGAACGACCAGCTTACGAGGCTAAGAAGTTCACTTTCTATCGCGTAAAAACCGCACCCAAAAAGCTGGTATTGAATCTGGCCGGGATGAAAATGGTCTTGTAAAGTGTGTGTTTACACCAGAAGCCTGCCTAGACATCTCAGTTGCTATTTCTGGCTTACCTCACCCGCTGGAAGTGAATATTGCCCCAGACGCAACGGTTGGGGATTTGAAACGTCAAGTACAGAGTCAGCTAAATGCTGCCAACGATCCCGATCAACTTCTTGTTCTCAATGACAAAGTGTTGCCAAATTCTTCCCGTTTAAGGTCAGTAATTAAATGTAAAAATTACGCAAAATGCACACGAGAGGCCTTGTCATAATGACAATATCTAGTTAGTAGAAGCTGTGTATTTTCTTTTTTATCAGGGCAGAAACGGCTGCCGATCGCGAGTTTCTGTCCACCCAGGTCATGGAAAATTCCCAGTTTTAAGCCATCCTCTTTTGGCTGCGAATTCGTTGCGTGTTTGGTAAAGCCGACTAAAAACAGTTCACATTTTTATTCTGTTTTTGGGTATGGCCAAGGAGTTGAATTGTCTTGGAATTGCCGCGAACTTGAAATCCAGCCAGCAATTAGAGCAGGATTTGAACTCGAGACGACCGCTTACTACTCGGCTTCGCTATATACCTCCAATAGGCGAGCGCGTTCTTTTCATGAGTCTAGATGCTAAGACCTTCAACAGAGGGTTATCGATCGGGCAGTTTCCAACGGGCTCTCTTGCTAAGAATTAATTTGGATGTTTTAACATTAGTAGTAGTAGTAGTAGTAGTAGTAGTAGTAGTAGTAGTAGTAGTATTTGTAGTATTTGTAGTATTTGTAGTATTTGTGGTGATTACAGAACTTTCTTAACGTGTCAAGAAACTCTAGCGCATAGCACTAATTGGTGACACAAAATAAAAATAAAATAAATATATAAATAAATGAAAATCAAATATTTAAATAGTGTTAAAATAATGTTAATATAGAGAAGCAAATAGTAAAAACTAGGAGGTTAAAAAATCTAAACGTATTTACACGTAAAAACAAGACATGTACATGATAAATTTTGCTTTGTAACATAGGGTCTCAGAGTTAATTATTACAAAGCATGCGATTTCTAAAGCCATCCTCGAATAAGGCAGTCAGGTCTGTTTTCGTAATTTTAGTCTTAAATTTGCACAGACTATCCTCGGCACGTAATTCCTTTGTAAGTTTCGACCAGAGGAAAGGGACATAATATCTTAATGAATGCTTTCCATATTTAATCGTATCAAAACGAGGAAGATTGAAATCCGAATTTCTTAATTTTTTTTCTTGTTATAGCTACTTGGTGAAATCGCCTGGAAACTTGAGAAACCTGAGATTAGTTGATGCCGAATTGGAGATAACAGTAGAGGTATCGTCTAGTGAAAGATTTCCGGTAAAGCTACGACCAAGCAAAGCAAATGTCATTGATTTGATGAAAGTGATAGAGGAGAAGCTTGGAATTCCCGTAAGTGACCAGGAAATCTACCACGGAAAAACCCGACTGTCAGACGCACCACGGAGAAGCCTTCCTTCGAAACTCATCTGCAGTATACAATAAGTGTAGTTGTGACTGTACGATACATCACTATAACCGTCGAGGACATGGAAAGTGGCGATGGTTGCATAATGAAGGTTGATAAACGAAAAACTTTAAAAAGAACCTTTTGGATGAAATATCACTGTGCAAAACATGTCAGAAAATGAAAAAGCGTCCGTTACATTTTTATTTCAAAGGAGAAGGACTCTGTCCTTCTGAAAATGACCAATCCTTATCAAGCCTTGGCTTTGGCAGTGGTTCCAAGATAGAAATGAAGAGGTAAGGGTATTTGGCATAGACACGGTGCTGATATTTAAGAATCATAAAAATACCACAGTTTACTTTCCTTACATTGTGTTTTTCTTACTTCAGTCGAACTTCCATATGCGACAACTTCTCGTAAGCCACCAACTCCCACAAAAGGTCACTTATCCAAAGTTAGAATCAGTAAACGTCTGCTACCTCGTTGCATTTTGGGTGGTCTGTTAGGGAAGGTTCAACTTTATTTTATGAGCACAATAAGGAATATGACTAGCTATAGCTATCGCCAAGTGCCAAAGAGCAAATTCTATCTATATGCGCGCGCTGTTGAGAAATGTCATGAAATACATTAAGTGATGAAAAATAGATTGAATTTCATTCGATTGCATTGAAAATAGTGCAAACTTAAAGCAAGGGGCACCTAAAGACCAACCGACGGCCGTGCCAGTACCTCACGCATGCGCACAACCGCATCACGCGGGTAGTGGCAGCCGTAGACAGTTGTTTCGCCCTCACTGGGGCTCAGAAGCTTGGGGGAGTCCGTGTTTTAGAAAAACCACTTACTTCGTGCTGAGGGGTGTGCAAAGCAGTCTATCAAGTGCCAGCTCCACACAACACATGTGGGAGCTGTTGCCTGGGAACCGCACGGCAGTTCTCCCACAACATGTCCGCGGAAGGCGGATCATGGTTTTGGTGTATGTGTGCCCCTTGCTTTAATTTGTCTTTTGAAAAAAGCAAACTAAACTGTTCTACTGCATAAAGAATTTGAAATCCCGACTTAACGCATCAAATTTTTCGAGATATTGAAGTTCGTGTTTTTGTCCGAAGTTGCGCACAAGTCATTTTGCGTAATATTTAGTGGTCTTATAAGCAAACTTAAAATCCTCGAAAAATCATGTTGAAGTTTGCGAATATTCAACGTACAGACTTATATTTGGTCTCTTTTTGAAGCTAAAAAAGTTTATGGTGCGCCAATGAAACCTTGCGAATTATTTTGCTTCAAAGACAGAAAAATTTGCTGCGTTACTGTTTTCTTAGCGGCATGCAATAAAAATTCCAGCAATGCGACAAATGCGACAGATATCGCGTAGGATGGAAATGATCCACCCGACGATTGGTTGAAGACGGGATGAGCACGTGACTCAAAAACACGCACACGACTCGTAGATTCTCTGATCTGTATCACGTAACCAATGACATTCACCAAGCATTCTCTGTGCTGCATTACGTTATGGTTGCCTTACATTACTCTATGTTATATCGATTCAAGTTTTTTCTGCCCTGGAACAATCGCGCACGGCTCTATTAGGCTGCCGCCTCGATCGCAGCCACGCGTCTTCGCGAGTCTGCTCGTTGGCAGTAATATCAGTTACCTCTATTTCTTATAAAATCGCTTCAAGTGAATTAAATAACTTGTTTCACCTAATGTGTGGTGGATAAGAACCTATTAAAACCTTATAATCAGCCTGAATTGTGAAAAACTACCCCATAATATAAAAAACCTGTTCAGTCTGACCTCGAATTCTAGGTTCTTATATGTGGGCTTTACTATATTATATTGATAGGTTTTGGTTTTTTAATCAGTTTTTTTTTTTATTTTACGCTTAACTATATTAATTTTTTCAGAGACACTTGAACAATTAATGTCGGTAAAGTGCTACTGATCTGTATATTTAAATAGCGCCATAGAAATAATAAATCATTATTATTATTATTATTATTATTTAAAATTAACTTTGAAAATCATCGAGCGGTTAAGACACCTAACAACAGTTAACTGAAGTTTTTTAATTTGTACCTACAAAATATGAACAGAATTTAATGTGATTAGAAATGTCTGTCGTACACATTAGGTTTGTGAGAAGTTCCGAAAAAGTGAATGATGATGATGAAAAAGAAGCCAAAGGGTCATTGCTTCACTTCACGGAACACCCTGAGGAACAACTGAAATGCATTGAAGACCAAATGAAAGGTATAGGTATTCCTAACAAAAATAATTCGTATTTCTACAAAATTCTTATTTCTATAAAAAAAAATATATCAAACTATATGATATTCACGAAATAAATGGTCTTCTTGAAAGAATGAAAAGATGGTAAATCACTCTCAATTGAGTTCTCCGTAGCTCAAGGGAATAGAGGCCTGCCGGATGTTTGGGACGTCGTGGGTTCGAATCCTGTCGGGGACTTACATTTTTTCTTAGTCCCAGCTCGTGAAATAGTGATCATTTCATTTTTCACATTTGTTTCACCGACCTTAAAATTTACCATCCTTCATTCTTTCACACACGTTGTGACATCGACATTGCTGATCCTAGTAGTATGCGGGACGCGTGTCAAATATGAACTAGTATATGGCCTCAGCTTGGCCTCGCTCTCCACGAGTTCTCCGTTAGCTCAGTGGATAGAGTTCCTCCCCGGTGTTTAGGAGGTCATGGGTTCGAATCCTGTCGGGGACTTAGATTTTCCTTCGTCCCGCTTGTGACATGCTGATCACTTCATTTTCACAAATGTACTTCTTATCACACAGAAAGTCAACACTATAAAAAGAAGCTAAAGGATCAATTCTGTCGAGAATCTGGGAAAAAGTTTCTTCTCCATTTGCGGGTTAGTATAGTATGAATCTGACTTCAGTGGAAGGTGCGTGAGTACGTTATTTTAGTTTACGCACGAGTTGTTGACGTATCAGAAATCGAAAGAGTGAGCGCAGCGAACGGTGTGAATTTCTGATACAAACTTCAACGAGTGCGTAAATGTACAAAAAACACTTTCCATATGGTATTGTGTTTGTTAACATACTGAGATATTCATCTTTTTACCAAAGTCTTTTATTTGAATCCTTTTTTTAATTAATTGATAAAATTTGCCGCTAAACATGGTGGTGACAAGGAAAATGACGATAACTATCAAATACTAATAGTAAATATTATAATGAGGTTGAGGATGAAAGGTAACAGGAACTACCCCAAATCTTAAATTTTGTTCCAAAACTATAGTTAAAAATTTGGGAAAAAGTGAAAAGACAAAAGATGGCTGCTATTAAAAAGTACAACTTAAAGACACTTTGTAGCTTCCCATGATGGATTTGCAGGCGTGTCAGAATTTTCGTGGTCCACGAATTTCCATCGCGACACCAGAATCAACTTTTGCTTGCAGAATCGTTATTGGGCTGCCTCAGACAATGCCCAATCTACGATTGGGCCTTGCAGTCTGTGCAGCAAAATGGCGGGAGGGACCATGTGTTTCGTCCCCCGCGATGGAG